TTAACATGGATTTTGACCAAATCTTGACCTAGGGGTATGTTGGGTATTTTGATATGTATTCTGAGTTTTGGTCGTTGTATTTATTGTAAAGGTGAGGTAGAGTTGATATTTGGAGCAGCGTGTGGCTGCAGCTATTTCGTCTGATAGTGAGATGAGTGTCCTCACTAGATCCATGGGTCAAAGGCACCAATATCGACCCATTACCTTTATATGTAGAATGCTAGTTGTTTTTGTGATATTTGCATTAAAGACCAGGATCTGACCCCTGACAATTGCATGGAAAACCAGGATCTGGCCCTCGACAATTGTATGAAAGACCAGGATCTGGCCCCTAGAAATTGTATGATAGACCAGGATTTGGCCCCTTAGCACTTGTATGTAAGACAAGGATTTGGCCCTCGGCATTGCAAGGAAAGACCATGATTTGGCCCATGGCAGAAAGTAACTGTAAGACTATGATTCGGTTCATAGCATTCATTATCTTGTATGTGTGGTATGTGGTATTTTGGGGAACTCACTATGCTTTGTGCTTACGTTTTTATGTTTATGGTTTCAGGTACTTCCGATTTGAAATGGAAGGGCCCGACGTGACTGCACAACATCCCCCAAAGTTTTCCGCATTGGCAAATTATGATCTTTACTCTGATGTTTAAATAATATACTCGCTTTAATTGGTTTTTGGAACAACTCTTTTGTATGGTTTAATGTTTTTAAAAAAATTTACTATGAATTTTTGGGACGTTATCAGTACTTATGAATGATTTCTTTAGGTTTTTCTCACTACATCTTATGGGGGACAATCATTGATGTGGTGTTTGGGGCTGTTGATGCTTATGTCCATCACAATCTCAACCGGTTGGTTGTGTAGGTCTTGTGGTTTAGCTTAGGTCTTGTGTTCTGAACGTCATAACTTCTTCATACGATATCAGATTTTAACGATCTTTATATCCATGTGTTCGTTTTTTGAGTCTACTAGAACTTTTGTTAAGATTACTGCCGTTAAAATGTAATATATTTTTACTTACGATCTATAAAAAAACATCCATCCATGCATTCATGAAAACGTATAGATATAAAGATCGTAAGTAAAAATATATTACTTTTAAAGGGAGTAATCTAAATGAAAGTTGTACTAGACTAAACTACGAACACATGGATATAAAGATCGTTAAAATCCAAGATCGTATGAAGAAGTTATGTCATTCAAAACACATGACCTAAGCAACCAAGTAGTCGAGATCGCGATGGACATAAGCATCAAAAGCCCCAAACACTTCATTAATGATTGTCCCATGTAAAATGTTGTGAGAAAAACCTAAAGAAATCATTCATAAGTACTGAATGAGTACAAAAACAAAAATGACTTATTTTACAACAAAAAAATATTAAGGACTAAATGTCTACTAAAATATTAAGGACTAAATGTGTACAAAGTGAGAAATATATTACCCTATTAAGTCATTTTTATCAGCTAACCTGGAGTAGCCGGTCATAAGGACTGAATGTGTACAGTTTAACAAGTTGAAGGGGTAAATATGGACGAAAAAAACTCAGTGACCAAATATGTACAAATCAAAAAATATATTACCCTTTTAAGTCTTTATCCCTAATAAGAATTTCTAGATTCCGTTATCTATTAGATTTAATAGGAGCCTAACATACGTGGGGGTTTCACAAATCAACAAGATAAAATAAAAATCATAGAGTTCCTTTTGGATCGAGAGTTCCAATCCAAAGACGAGTAGTAAACCTGCAATCACAAGATAGAAACTCATGATAACAGAGAACTTGAAAGTAGATAAGTGGAATCCAATACGATTTAAAAAATCGGAGGTGGAACCCTAAATCAACACCGATAAGCGTCAAATATTCCAAGGATCCACAATCGTAACCCTAGATTGGCACTCTTTGTGTTAGATATAAAAGATTCAAAAAAAAGAAAACAAGAGACGAAGAAAGAACGATAAAATACCCTAACCTTGGGAACGACGTAAGTTGAAACACCACTATTCAACCAGAGAGGATAGTCGGAACAACCAGTTGCTTTGATACCATAAAATAAAATACAAACACAGTGATTCCCAACTTAAACAAATCTTTTATTAAGAACCTGTTTGATACATCAACAATATTATGTAACCTCACTACTGGGAAACATATACAAATACTCTCAAATATTCTCTCAAGCTATAAACTTGAATATACAACAAAAGTATATAGACCCTAGATTGAGAAGTTGAACCATACCAGAGAATATTAGAATTTTGGGTATAGAAAAGCTTGGAAATTCTAAGAATCGTCTTGAACACTTTCAGATTAAAGTATTTGGGTGGTACTCCCAATCTTCTTTAATTGGATAAGACTTAGAGAGAAAAGAACAGAGAGTGTTTTGTTGATATGATTTTTTATGTACCAGAAAATGAGACCAAAAACCAATTTTAAGATCTCTGTCGGAAAACTGTCATATAACAGTTTCAAACTGTCACAAACCACCAAAAACAATCATAAAAACGGGTATTTGGATAAAAGTCAAAACTAGATGGCTCTGCCCCTTGTACCCTGCCAGGGGCTACCGCCCCTTGGACCCCGCTCCCAGGGGCGCTGCCCCAGACCCCCATTCGTTTAGAGGCTTTGCCCCTAAATGACAGTGCACTTTGAAACTTGATCAAACTTAAACAAGTGTGTACTCCACACATTCCTTACTTGTTTAATATTTATCAAGATCACTTTTGGTCAACAAATGAATCCCATTACACTTAAATAACATTGATGATAACAAATCACCAATAAACCTCCCCCATTTAAGTGTAATCTTCATTAACTTAAAATAAAACATAAAAAGAAAAAACTGATGCATAAATGAACTGTCGTGAAGATTGAATTTCACATTAGTATATTATACAATCCAAATATTCGAATATCAGGGTGTCACTAAGGTTTAAACCCTTTCTATCCATAGTGAATACATGAAGATAATACACACAACAATTTACATTCTCATAATTTCTAACTTGACACTATATTTTACTAGCTTGTGTCCCATCCTTCAACAAACATATCAAAGTCAAGTCCTAACTTCTTGAAGCAGCTAAACTCCATGCTTATATAGGTAATCCTTTTATTCTTACACCTATAAAATGCAATTTTTCAGAAGAACTATTAAGAAATAAAATTTCAACCTCCTTTACTTGCAGTCCTGAACACATACCTTGGGATGATGATAGTAATGTGTTCCAATCTTCAAATATCAAGCTTTCAACATTGAACTCAACATCTAATATCACATTAGATAAGAATTGGGTATCTTAAAACGAAAGATTTTAGACGGACTTTAAACCCATCCTTATGGCCGCCTTGTGCACAAGATCTCTTGCTAACCCTTTGGTTAGATGATCGGCCAAATTCAACTGAGTTCTCACAAACTCCACAGATATCACACTAGTCATGATGAGCTCACGATAAAAATACCCTGGGAACAACGTAAGTTGAAACAACACCGTTCAACTAGAGAAGATAGTCAGAACAACCATCAAATAAAATATTAACACAGTGATTCCCAACTTAAACATATCTTTTATTAAGAACCTATTTGATACATCAACACTATTATGTAACCTCACTATTGGGAAAGATATATAAATACTCTCAAACATTTTCTCAAGCTATAAACTTGAATATACAACAAAACTATATAGACCCTAGATTAAGAAGATGAACCATACCAGAGAAGAGAAGAGATGAATGGTTCTATGTGTACGAAGATAGACTAGAAGAGAGAAGTGATGAATGGTTCTCTGTGTATGCGTCTCTCCATAGGTCTCTCTTTAGGCTTAGGGGATAGGAGGATTCCACGTGTGAAATGTTGATGTGGCATACATTTCCACTAGTGAACACCACCTTAGGTGCTAGTAGGTGTGATGTGGAGTGGAGTTTGCTAGGCTTGATTATGCTCAACATAAATCATCCTTTCCAAACAATCAAAAATCTAGCCAAAGAATGCATGTGTTTGTATATTAATATAAAAATAAAAATAAATAGATAAATAATATGGAGTGGTAATCATTTCCAAAGATAGTAGTATAGTAGTGAATATGTAGTGAAGATGAAGAGGTGCAAATGTAGCAACACTTTTCTTGTGGGGATGTAGTGACCATACATCTTGGTCATATATAGATCTAGAACAAATATCTCAACTTACACAATACCCCATATGTAACACGAAAGTTACGGAATCTACCACTTCTATTAATAACCAGCATAAGATAATTGTTAAGTTTATTTATTTTATGATAATTGTTAAGTTTGTTATCAAAATTTATATCATTTTCCAACATAATCGTGTACACTGGGGTTGCGTTTCTCTTTTATACATTTTTTGTAATAACACACGAAGAGTAGTATTGTATATGTCATTAGTCCGATACTTTGTAGGAACTACCCGTAATAACGAACTTGCAAAATGTATTAGTTTATCATAAATAGATTTGTTGTTCCTGACATGCTTCACCTTAATTGTTATTTTAACAAGTAAATCCGAGTGGGGATAGCATTTCTCTCCTGCATGTCAATGGAGTTTTGAAAAATCCAAACATCTCATAAATAGATAGAGAGGTAGGAATTTATTGAACGAACCGCACTCCTTCGTCGTATATGTCAGGAGTCCATTGATGAGAAGGGGTTGGGGAAAGCTTGAACCCAATTCCTACACTGATGAATATGAGCGCAATTGAAATTCCTGGGTTGTAATACATTTGTCGATCTAGTGACTAGTTTCTTTTGCAAACGGTTCGATAGTTTGATCTACGAATTGAGATCTAGAATTGACTAAAACCATAATAATGCATATATTATTGAGTATTTAGTAAGCAGAAAATGCAATAACATAGAATTGACTAAAACCATAATAATGCATATATTATTAAGTATTTTACAGTAAGTGGAAATTATACTCTGTCATGAATAGAAAAACTATTACAAACCTGGAAACTTTGATTGATCAATTACTCATTGCTTACCACAGGAACCCTTTCATACCCCACAGTCTCCCGGAATCTCTTTGGAAGCATAAATCGACCACCAAAACGTTGCTGCAAGAACACGATCACTGCAAACACAACACCTCCACAAGCAATGAAAACATCCCAAGAAGGTGAGTAGAAATCTGCTCTTGGATTTGCATACAGATAGAACCGATGAAACTGGCGACTTATGTTCTCTTGACCCCTATAAAGATCATACGCATGAGGTAGTAATCGAACAAAAGTGTTCCCTACGTAAAACAAATAAGACAAAGCATTCCCTTTTGAAATCTTAAACATGTTATGTACGATTTGTGGGAATAGGAATCCGTCTAGTGTTAACCCCGCATAAGACCTCAAATCACCCCAGATTGATCGGTTACTGGAGATTATGTAATCCTTGTTCTTCCAGTTTGTTAGAAACATCATCAATCCACCAACTATATAAACCGGTAAACATACCACCAGAGTCCATATCTCATGATTCCAATGACTCTTTCCGTTTCCGTTGTTATCACCATTCGCAAGTTTTTTAGTCCATGTCAACTGGAGGAGACGGAATTGCAAAATGAAAGCTACCATTGTCACTATCCTAACAATCACTTCATTCACTTCAAGCAATCCACCACTCCCCTCGAATTGAATGTTTTGAAGATAACGAGTGTTTGAAAACATTGCCTCAAAATTCAACACTAAAGGAACTATGTACCCAAGTGTAAGAATCAACATCATCAAAACTGAAATCAACTGACTCGTTTCGGGATTCTTTTTGATATGAAAGAGTTGAAGGACGATGAATAGACACGAAAGTGTCCGTGAAATCAAGTCCAATATGATTTCCAAATCCATTCTCCATATCGATTCCATGGCTTCGAGTTTAGTGTAAGCAAGAGAAACGACATTTAAACTGTCGAAATACAAAACATCTGTCTTTTCACGTAAGCTTTCTATGCTTCCCTTGATTAAAAAACTTCCATTATTCCCATTGGTACTCGGGAATTGGAATTGCACCAGAATCTCGCAATCGAAAGATTCATTTTTTGAGTTCTCGGATGAAGGTAGATTTCGACAACCAACCATACAAAGTCTTCCTGTTTCACTATCATAAAACCCCTCTGCCGATATCTCAACTCTACCATTCTTAGTTAACGATAACGACGGAATCCCGCTTTCCGATTCCGATGTTGAATTAGCAAACATTTGGAAGCTAATCTCATAGCTTATGTTCATCGGACTGGTGTTACTGGTGGCGGCCTGCCATGGACTAAAATTTGAATCCAAAGCTTCATACGAATTGTAGAACTGATTTCCGACAAAGATCGGAAAGGCATAACCCATGGAATTCATGTTTCTGTACTTAACAGACATGTCAAAAGTCATATCCCGACTATATCCCGACGGGTACACAACCCCTTCCCTTTTAGCAACATCTGCTCGAGGGCAAATTTGTCTTACTTTCTCCAATTTTGTAAACTCATACTTTGACCCGTAATTCTCGGAACTATGATCAAAGCTTTGAAACTTGATTGGTTTAAAGTACCCGACATCATCGACTTTCTTGGTTGACCAAATTTGACCTTCGGTGGTATGTGTGTTTTTGATTGACCGAACTTCAGGGAACCATAAGGTCAGCCTGACCGAACAATCTCCAACATGAGCACTTCCCAAAGGATCACTCTGATTCAAGATATGACAAGCTATAATGCAAAGCTCGTTTTTTGCTCCATTCCATGTTCCATCGCCAATTAACGTTACATTTGGGTTGAAAGATTGGTACCAACGGGCATAACTTGTGTTTTGAAATTCTACTAAAAAGCGCAACTTTTTTTCTTCCAATGAACACTGAAACCCATACAACGACAAAAAAGGGTACCCAATACCTTGATTTTCCAACCGGTAAATCTTGAATTGATACGCTAACTTTGAACATAAGTCTAAAGATTCCATCCTAGCGACTGAATGTTCGTTTCCGTTTGCCCCATTACAATCTTCATTGGCAACCAACGAATATTTGTATTTCAAAAGACCCACTTGAGGGAATCCCATCATTGAAATCGGCTCAAAGTAATCGGAATCTTGAGGCGAAGCTAAACTCGCCAAGATTCCACCGACTAAGCTAGTATTTATATTCATAAGCTTAGGTAAATTAAGCTTCAGAACAGCATCAAGTTTCAAACGTTTACCTTTTTTGGAAAACCAACGTGCGGATCCAACCATACAAAGCTTATTGGTGGAAACTGACAAGAACCCACCTAAGTTAAACACCAATGGAAGATAAGATCGTGAATGGTTAGATTGGAAATGGTATATATTTGATGAAGCGAAAGTTAATTGAGCTTGGGTTTTGTATGTGTTGGAGGTGTTTGTTTTGAAGATTTTATTTTTGGGTCTAAATTGGATAAATCTTTGTGCGAGTGAATCTTGGTCGAGAATGTTTTGAGCGCCGGTGTAATGACTGGTTAAGGTTTTGAGAGATGGGAATCGGGTGTATGTGATGCTGGTCGCAATGGCTTCGGGGACGACGGAATTGCAGTGATCGGAATAGGAGATTGTTTTAGTTGAGGAAAAGACTGTTGTAATAAGGATGAAGATGGTGATGGTGATGAACGGAATGGAAAGGATTTTTGATGGAAAGAGTGAAGGATTCATGGCTGGAATGAGTGATGGTTGATTGTGGATTATGCTTTGGTCTTATAGTGTGTTTAATACTTTAATTGGTCAATGGATTGTGGGGAGTGGGTCAAACTGACACCTTCCAAGAAAGAAACTACAATGGATTTTGATATAGTTTGGTTTTGATCTATGGTCGGTCAACTTTAACAGTCTTAACTGTTAAGTTGTCACAATGAATCGATGACCAGTTCATCAATAAATCATAAAAGCAAAGCACATTTAACCAAAACCAAAAACAAGCTTATAGTTGAAGCAAAATCAAAATCACAACTTAAATTCAAAAATTAAAAGCAAATTCAGGATATTAAGATATAGGAAAAAAAAAAAAAACTCTTTTAGGGACGATGAAACCAGTTGAAGTTTTGAAAGAACCCATTCATTGTTGTTTGCACGAAGGAATTATTTATTTGCTTTTTTGACAGAAAAGGTTTTCAAGATATGAGATATGAATTGTAAAGAGAGAATTGTAATGTAAGAGTTTGTGTATTTATCAGTGTACTCATTACAACAATGAAAGGAATCCATTTATAACAACTATACATGAGCTTACGTGTGGCCTTGTAAAGTTGAGATAAAGCAGCCTTGCTACCAACCTTCTATACTTTTCTGGATTTTCAAGTAGCATTCATTTATTAGAACATAATTGTACATTCTTAACAATTGGAGCACAAGCTGGTTTGACTCCACTTAGTCCTGCAATAGCAAGTATATCCAAAATGTATTTTCTTTGATTCACATATAGACCATTCTTGGTTTTTAGCGGTTCTTCACTTCATCAATTCTTTTCCCATTTGGACCTGTTATCAAAACATCATCTACATAAACCACCAAGGCAATAAAATCATCATTTTCACCTTTTGCAAATGAGCAATGATCATGTTTGTATCGCTTAAAAGCAAAAGTTATGAGCTTATTACAAAACTCAATGTGTCACTACATGTTTGCTTGCTTTAGACTATATAGAGATTTGTTTGATTTGCATACTTCCCCTTGTTTTGCCTTTGTGTAGCCTTGTGGGAGGGTCAAATATACTTCTTCATCTAAGTAACCATGGAGGAAAGCATTGTTTATGTCCAATTGATGTAAAGGTCAATTCTTTAAAGTGGACAATGAAAGTAGTATCCTTACTGTTATGATCTTTGCAGCTGCTTCCATGTATCATAATTTTCAAGAGCCTCAAGTTCTGTTTCCATTGCTTTCATCTATTCCATACTTTGACAAGCTTCATGATGAGAATTGGGTTCCTTTATCTTGGAAACAGACGTTAAGAAACTTTTATGACAATCTGTGAGTAATTCAGATTGTATGTATGGGAATGTAGGTGGATAATGGGGTGAAGAATAAGTTTTTGAACTTTGATTGTTATCTACTATGCAATGCATTATGTAATCTTGATGACAAACTGGTTTTGTTCTTGTTCTGGTATTGTTCTTGGGAGCATTATTTGATGAAGATGAAGAACTTTGTGATTGAGCTGAAGAGTGAGAAATATTATTGTTGGTATTGACTTGATCATCATCACCACTATCAACATGATCTGGATCATAATCATCTGAAGGTAAGAAATCATCTTCATGTGTTGTGAAAAACTCATCTTGAGAAGTATCATTAGAAGATGGAACAGAAGTATGATGATCTTCACATAAACTTCAACTCTGATATTAGGCATTAATAGCTTTATTGTATTTTCATCTTGCTTCTTTATAAATGGAAATGCTTCTTCATAGAATACAACATCTTTGGACATTATGATCTTTTTTCTTTGAGCTCATATAATTTGTAAGCCCTTTTCCCTGGATTATATGAAAATAAAGCAACACATTATAGCCCTTAATTCAAATTTGGTTTTGTGAGGAATTACATTACTATCAAAGCATAAGCCTCCAAATACTTTGACATTTGAGTATGAAGGGTCTTTCTTGTAAAGTATTTGAAATGGAGTTTTCCATTGTAATAATGGAGTTGGAAGAAGATTTATAATGAATTTTTCCATAAGTTATAGCATGTGCCTAGAAAGTAATTGGCATATTTGATTATGAAAATAATGCCATAGCAAGTTGGAGTAGATGTTGGTGTTTTCTTTCAACTCTCCCATTTTGTTAGGGGCTTAAGGTGGGTGAAATGAGGCCAGAGTGCTTAAATACGAGACACACCCTAAATATTAGGGTTTCTTTAACTGGCAAGTACGCCCAGCGTACATTGATGTATGTCCAGCGTACACCATGTACGCATGGCGTACTCCGAAGGCTATAATTACAACAATGTTATTTGGGCTCCTTTGCACACTTTCTTAAACTTAGGGACCAAAATGCAACATAATAAAATTATAGGGTTGAAATTTGAAATATCTTATCAGCAGGATGTTACACTATCTCACATGACACTATTACGACCTCTCTTTTATTATTTCACACGACCGTTTACTACCCAGTCATATTGTAAAGTATCATAATATATATATATATATATATATATATATATATATATATATATATATAGTGTAATTAAGTAATAATTATATCAGGCTACACATATATGTTAAATACAGCAAGACAGCGTACATAGAATTTAAGCATTTAGAATATTTGTATCTATGTGTAAGTTGAAAGTAATTATTCACTCACTTGATAAAATTGGATGACTGACGATTTCGGTAGCGCTTCACTTCGTACTTTGAAAAGGTAGAGATTTTAGTGAAAACCGGGAAAAACGTGCGGACATGACTCTGAAATCAAAAGCTCCTATTTGTCGAACATCTCGACCCCTCAAAATCTTACTAAATACCCCTAAGAATCTTAAAAACTCGAACTCAAGAATTTGGGAGGTTTCCAAAGAGAATTTGATAGTTTTTGATCTATGGTCGGTCAACTTTAACAGTCTTTAACTGTTAAGTGGTCACAATGAGTCGATGACCAGTTCATCAGTAAATCATAAAAGCAAAGGTAATTTAACCAAAACTAAAAACAAGTTTACAGTTAAAGCAAAATCAAACTCACAACTTAAATTCAAAAATTAAACGCAAATTCAGGATATTAAGATATAGGAAACAAAACTCTTTTAGGGACGATGAAACCAGTTGGTGTTTTGAAAGAACCCATTCATTGTTGTTTGCACGAAGGAATTATTTATTTGCTTTTTTGACAGAAAAGGTTTTCAAGATATGAGATATGAATTGTAAAGAGAGAATTGTGATGTAAGAGTTTGTATATTTATCAGTGTACTAATTACAACAATGAAAGGAATCCATTTATAACAACTATACATGAGCAAAATATGTTTGAATAAACTAACTATCAAGCTAACTAATTCTAACTGGCTTATAACAAAATAATTAGCACGTGATTAGCACATGATCAATATTGACATCCTCCCTTCAAGTTGCACCTTGATGAATATCATGAAGGTTCAACCTGGAAATAAGATTCTGAAATTGAGGATTACATAACCCTTTTGTAAACACATCTCCAAGTTGTTCTTTAGTTGGAATGTGCGTGGACAACACATATAGACCATTCTTGGTTTTTAGAGTTCTACTCCCAAGAAATAACTTGCTTCTCCTAAATCTTTTATGGTAAATTCTTTATGTGGAAGTTTCTTCACTTCATCATTTCTTTTCTCATTTGGACCTTTTATGAAAATATCATCTACGTAAACCACCAAGGCAATAAAATCATCATTTTCTCCTTTTGCAAATAAGCAATGATTATGTTTGGATTGATTAAAAGCAAAACTTGTGAGCTTATTACAAAACTCAATGTGTCACTGCCTGCCTGCTTGCTTTATACCATATAGAGATTTGTTTGATTTGCATACATCCCCTTGTTTTGCCTTTGTGTAGCCTTGTGATGGGGTCAAATATATTTCTTCATCTAAGTAACCATGGAGGAAAGCATTGTTTATATCCAATTGATGTAAAGGCCAATCCTTTGAAGTGGACAATGAAAGTAGTATCCTTATTGTTACAATCTTTGCAACCGGTGAAAAACTATCCACATACTAATTCCATAGACTTGATTGTATCATTTTGCCACAAGCCTTTCTTTGTATCTCTCAATTGTTGCATCTGGATGAAGTTTGACTTTATAAGCCCAGTTTAAACCTATAGGTTTCTTATTTTCTAGTAGGGGCATTATTTTCTATGTATCATTATTTTCAATAGCCTCAAGTTCTATTTCCATTGCTTTCATCTATTCCATACTTTGACAAGCTTCATGATAAGAATTAGGTTCCTTTATCTTGGAAACAAATGTTAAGAAACTTTTATGAAAATCTGTGAGTAATTCAAACTGTATGTATGGGAAGTAGGTGGATAATTGGGTGAAGAATAAGTTTTTGAACTTTGATTGTTATCTTCTGTGCAATGCATTATGTAATCTTGATGCCAAATTGGTTTTATTCTTGTTCCGATATTGTTTCTCAGAGCATTATCTAATGAAGATAAAGAACTTTGTGATTGAGCTGAAGAGTGAGAAATATTATTATTGGTATTGACTTGATCATAATCACCAATATCAACATGATCTGGATCATAATCATCTGAAAGTAAAAAATCATCTTCATGTGTTATCTATTAGGCTACTATTATATAAAGATATAATTAGATATAATTAGAGGGTTTAATGTGTAACATTGTATTATATAAATACCTATTGTAATTATCATTCACGATCACAATAATACAATACATCTTTTGATACCAAGTTTCTTATGGTATCAGAAGCCGATAACCCTAAACCTGCTGCTACCTTTTTTTGCGACTCAACTCTTTAGTCGCCACCCTCTTTCCACTGTCCTCCTGTTCCTTCTTGATTGGTGATTCACAATCAGCCATAAATGGCTCTAACACCCTTCTCTACAATAGAGAAAACAACACACAACTCACAAAAGTTTGGCTTTACCCTCTCTCTCTCCAACAAACTATGGGTATTGGAAAGCCATGATTCAACCTTTTCTGGTAACAAACAGCTTGTTCGGCT